CAAGGTCTTTACATACATTGCTTATATTTTTACCCCAATAGGTTCTATTAATTTCTATCAGGAAGACTTTTATCCAACATTCCAGAGTGAGTGTCCAGGGCTTGCACCCAAGGCCAAACCTACTGGGATGGGCCTCAGTCTTTTAAAGTTTTAAAGCGATATTTATTTCAGTGGGGTGATCAAATGGAGTCTCTGACTAAATCCTGCTGAAATGCATCGAAGGCAATTCAGCTGCAAATCAAACAAAGTCTACACTGTGCCGTCTTCAATCAGCAACGTTTGGTCGAAAAATGAATATTGGATAGATTTCAATTCCCCCTCCCCCCCAGAACCAGTGGTGGGATTCAAGCCAGTTCGCACCACTTCAGTAGAACCAGTAGCTACTGTAATTTCCGGCGTTATAAGATGACTTTCTAAAGCAGTGGTTCTCAACCTTTCTAATGCCGCGACCCCATAATACAGTTCCCCATGTTGTGGTGACCCCCCAACCACTTATACATCACCAGGTGCCAGGGGCGTGGCCAAAGAAAAGGGGGAAAAAATGGCGGACTGCGTTGTTTGGCGACCCCCGTGAAATGGTCGTTCGACCCCAAATGGGATCCCAACCCACAGGTTGAGAACCACTGTTCTAAAGCATGCAAATCAGCTCCGAAGTCAGGGGCGTCTTATACGCCGGAAAATACGGTAATTTTTGGTTGCCCAGGCCCGGAATGGACTTCCGGAAGCGGCATCCACACAGAGAACCGGTCCTTCACCTATTTGAATCCCACCATTGGTCCAGAACTGTTTGCCTCCCACCATCCTTCAAAAAGCCAGCTTATTTTTGTGGCTTGAATATTTGTGACGGCAAGAGTCAGTTTAAAAACAAAGGACGGATGGGTGGTTATGGCAGCTGCGTCAACTGCATTATGGAACCTAGTCTGAAAGGGTGCCTCTGACACTTTCTCAGTTCCAAATGTACCCCCAAAGTATTGTTGGTCTCCGAGCTGCACAATAACTCAACAAGGAAATCTTCCTGTTGTTGCGTTTTTAAAATTTTCCACGGGGAAATAATGCGCAGAGTTCATAAACAAGCTAGTTTAAAAAAAAAAAAAAACAAATTTTCTGTTTCCAGAAAATATTCAGGTGTTGGGAACGAACTCGTGTGCAGGAGACTTACCAGAGGCAGCTTTCATACATCTAATATGGGGCTCTATTCCCAAAGCGGATTAGCTCAAATAGATGAAAAAATTGATGGTCATTAAAGTTATCAAATTGATGCTTATGGTAAAAGACAATTGCATTACTGCAAAAATCAGATTTCCACTCCCCTGGATAAACATAATAGGCAGCAGAATCATTTCCTTGCTTAAGACTATTTCATTGCAGTTACATGTATCTTAACTAGTATACTTTACCCTGGTCTTGATTATATTTTTTTTAAGTTCATCAGCTTGCTTTCTTTCAAAGAGAGGACAGGGTTCACCACCTCTTCGTCTTCTAGCATTAACCAATGGAACACACTACAATCTAAGATTCGTCCCTGCGTAATAATTTTTTATTTAGAACTGTCCGTCTTGAGAAAAAAGAAGTTTCTCAGATATGAACACAATGTTCTTTAGTGGCGCTGAGATTATATGGAGCGAGGGAGCGAGGAATCTTCTTAGAAAGATGAAAGATTTCATTCTTTATAAGTAGTGAGTGATTGGAAGGGAGGGAGGGAGGGAGGGAGGGAGAGGGAAGGGAGAGAGAGGGAGGAGAACAGGAAGGAAGAGAGGGAGGGAGGGAGGGAGGGAGGGAGGAAGGAGGGAGAGAGGGAGAAGAGGGAGGGAGGGAGAGAGGGAGAAGAGGAAGGAAGGAATGGAGGGAGGGAAGGAGGGAGGGGAAAGGGAGGGAGGAAGGAAAGGAGCGGAGGAAGGGAGGGAGAGAGAGAGAAGAGGAAGGAAGAGAGGGAGGGAGGAGGAACGAAGGGAGGGAGAGAGGGAGGGGAGGGAGGGAAGGAGGGAGAGAGGGAGGAGAAGAGGAAGGAAAGAACGGAGGGAAGAAGGAAGGGGGAAGGAAGGGAGGGAGGGAGGAAAGGAGCGGAGGAAAGAAGGGAGGGAGGGAGAGAGGGAAAAGAGGGATGGAGGGAAGGAGAGAGGGAGGAGAAGAGGAAGGAAGGAAGGGAGGGAGGGAGGAAAGGAGCAGAGGAAGGAAGGAAGGGACGGAGAGAGGGAGAAGAGGAAGGAAGGATGAGTATGGGACATCTACTGCAAGGAGAAATCAAAGAGAAGATGCCAAACCAAGGCATGAACATTAAGTTACCTTTGACACTAAAACTCTTATCATAAGTCATTGGGTAAACTTCCTAACAAATGTTTGGGGAGCAATCATCAAAAACTGGGGTCCCCAACATGTCCTCTCCTTGTCTTCTTCCTTGCACTTTCAAGTTTATTTTAAAGACAATAGAACTGTGGGCAAAATGAAGGACTTCCAGTGTCCTATCTCCAATAATGCTTCTGGCCCAAGATGGGCCCCAGTTATGTCAGCCGGTGACCCCTCAATGTGTCTTTGTGAGAACACACAACCATCTAGAAAAGAGGAGTTAAGACGGAAGAAATCTGACTCTGGGGCCATCAGGGAGCCAAAAGACTTGGGTGTGATTAGCTGACTGGTTAGTTGGCTGTCTTGGTTCTGTACCAGCTCCACTGTGCTTGGATTTGTCTTGTGTGTTGCGTATGTTGCACAATTCTATATTATGTGATTTTGGCCTATTTTGTAGGTATTACTTCTGAGCATCGACAATCTTAGCTTCTCCGAAATATCCGTTATGCGTCATGGGGGCTAATATCACCTGCGCACATCAAGCAACACCAATTTGCGTTTGCTGTGTTTTGTGATTGTTGTTGTCAACACCGCTAACATTGGATGTTTGTGCATTGACAACAGATTTAGATGTAGCCATTTTCTTCCTTTCATTTTTAGAGTTAGATGATGCTGGGGAGGGGGGATGTGAACGGGAGTCCAACTAGACATAACAACACTGAGCCTAGCGTGAGAATCAAGGTTGTTGAAATCAGACATGATAAAGAATTGGAGGGCTGGAGAGTTGGAGAAGAAGCCCGCGCTTCAAGCTAATTGGGGAATGTGATTTATGACTGTAAATTGGAGGAGGGAATTGTGCTTTGATACTATGTGCCCAGGGGGGCAAGATTCAGTTTTTGGCTTTGGTTATGTAAGTGCCGATATTATGCTACTCGAATAAAAGGTTCTTTAAGGTAAACAATGCCTCGAGGTTCTTGTGACGAGTTTCATCTGTCGGAACCACGACAGTTGTTTTGAGAATGCGCAAGCCTCGTAGATGATAGGCATTTTAGTAGCCCCCTGAAGACCCCGAACGCGTCCCTTAGTTTAAAATGCTGTGGGACTCTTGATCTAAGATAAAATTACAGAGAATCGCAAATCCTTAACACATCTCTGCAACCCCTGTGTGACTATCTAGAAGCTCTACAGTAAAGGAAGTCAAAATAATCTCGGTTCCACTATATAAAATTCAGCATAGCTAAGAACTTAAAAGTTGTTTTTTTCTTTAAACCTTCTAATCAGTTGCTGTCAACAGCACCTAAGGAAAACAGAAGCAGGGAACCTGAAGTTTAAGAAAAATAAATACATAATATTTTTAACCTTTTGTACCAGATGGATAGCCCTGACAGGCTTCAAGTCATCCGACACCTAGCCTTTTATTGAATATGTACACATCCAAGTTGCCATTTTATTGCCTAAAACGACTCTTATACCGCAGATTTAAAAAGTTATTTTGACAACAGATGTGTTGTCCTCAAGTAAAAAAACAAACACACGTGTCGGGTTTAAGCTTCCCAAGCAAGTGTACATTAAATACCTATGGAGATTCTCAATCATCCAGATCGTGGTTGTCCCAAAGGGGTTTTTTCAAGAGGCAACTGGATTTCCTTGTTGTTGTTGTTTTGAAGACATTTCGCTTCTCATCCAAGAAGCTTCTTCAGTTCTGACTGAATTCTGATTCAGTCAAGCTGAAGAAGCTTCTTGATTCAGTCAGAACTGAAGAAGCTTCTTGGATGAGAGGCGAAACGTCCTCAAAAACAAAAACAAGGAAATCCAATTCCTCTTGGAAAAGCACCTTTGGGACAAGTGTACATTAAATGTGTTTTTTTTTTTTTCCCCCTTTCCGTTTGGGAAAAGATTAGCTATAGAAAATGGCCGGCTGAGGTAATTAATTGATTTAGAAGGCCGTATCTTCAAAGGTATCGAATACAAAGATATCCGAGACAAGCTGAACTATTTCTGAGATAGAATATAATTTCCGCCAACAATATAGATGGTAGGAAAATGAGCAAACTGTGTCACAAACACAAAGTGCCATTTAAGTCCACAGTGTTTCTACCCCTTTGTAAAATGTCCTTGAATGCTCATAATTTACCTCACGAGGGCAACATCAGGACCAAATAAATGAAGGTTCTAATGGAAAAACACCATTCAGATAAGAATAATGTCTCCTATTTCCTGAATTTCAGTAAAATGATTTCTTGTACAGTCAGATATCCTGGAGAATACAGATAGTCCTTGGCTTACGGCCACAATTCAGGCCAACATTTCTGTTGCTAAGATGGTCGTCAAGTCAATTTTGCCCCATTTTACCACACCTTTCTCCCCTCACAGTTGTTATGTTAGCAACACGGCTGTTAAGTGAAATCTGGCTTTCCTATTGCCAGAAGATTCCCAAAGGTGATCACATGACCCCAGAACATCGCATTAACAAACTGGCATAAGTACCTGCCAGTTGCCAAGCTTCTGAATTTTGATCATGTGACCAGCAATGCTGGAACGGTCGCAAGTGTGAAAAACGGTCTTAACTTACTTTTTCCGTGGTAATTTTGAACAGTCACTAAATGAATGCTCATTAAGTCGAGGACCACCTGTAACCGGAGGAAGCTATGAGGCACCGTGCGGAGAATGCTAGGCAGAGGAAACGGGAGTATTTTCAGACAGGGCCGGCATTCTACCTGTTGAAGTTAATGTCTGGATAGCTGGAATATTCCGATTTCATCTTGGCGTTGCGCCGAGGAAAAGTGCAGAAGAAGGCATTGGCTAGCAAACTGGCCATCTGCTCCTGTGACATTGTGATGGAGTGGTTCATTTTTTGCTTCAGAAGAGGTATTGGCTAAAAGAAAAAAACAGAACAAAACCATCATCCGAGGCATGGTTGTCTCAAAGAATGCTTTTTCCAAAAGGCAGTTGTACTTCCTTGATTTTTTTTTTCTCCTTGAAAATATTTCAAGAAATTTCTGAAGCTTCTTGGTATGAGGAGCAAAACATTTTCAAGGGGGAAGAAAAAACAAACCAAGAAAATCCAGTTGCCTTTTGAAAAGCACCTTTGGGAAAACAAGATGGGGCATAATCACTTTATAAATTCTGAACACAGAGCCTCACCCAGCAACGAGAAGCTGCTGGAACAAAATTACATTTGCTAATTTAAGAGGTGCTGGTGGTTCCTTAAATCAGCATCGCCACCCAAGTCAAGAGTTGTTTATCCAAGTTGATTGGGACAAGAGTCTTGTTTGGCAAACGGCAGACGTCAATCAATAAAAACAAGAGGAGCAAACAAAACACCGGGGTGTTGAAGACCTTCAGAGGGGGGAACAGGTGGGACGTGAAGAAGCCAGGAAGGAAAAAAAATAAAGCAGGAAGGGATGGTGTTAATCGTCCTGAGCAGTTTGACTCTCATGCAGTTTAGAAAAGGGCAATCACAGGCAATCACACTGTTAACAGCTCTGAGACAAGGCGCCATGATGAGACACCAAAAAACACAACTGTGTTAGGAGGGCTGACGCATTCCTTTTGTTTGATTGCCTTGCTTAAATGGAGAAAAGAAAATTAGGGTTCAAGAAAGAAAAAATATGACAAGCCAACACGCTTCCACTCAAGCCTCATTTACTGTCTGGTTGTTTTACAAATGAGTTTAACCTCAAGGGAATATACGGCCAGCTGCCCTCAAAGAGGGGATAATCGGAGCTCGTTTTGTGCAGCTCCTTAAGAAGAAACTGTTTTAAAAAGTGCAAGCAGAACTCACTGTTAAGTTACAGCAGAATTCCGGAAGATAAATGCAGATTTTCAAAATGGGATGGTATCCTGAGTTAAAAACCCTCTTTGCTAAATTCAAGAGAAAGGACCATTTGCTTATGATGGTTCAGAGGTCATGTTTTTTTTCAGTATGATTATTAGAGGTAACTAGCAGTTTCGGGTTAAAACTCTTAGTTCTAGGCTGCCGATTCGTAGCAACCTAGAACTAAAGAGTTTTAACTAAAAACTGCTGGTTACCTCTGTGGGAGATGGAAATATAACCCTCTTCTCATATAGCAGTGGTGGCGAACCTATGGCACAGGTCCAGTCCTAGGCCTTCAGCTGGGTTTTATAAAACCTTTTTGCTTTAGGCCTCCACCGCTGTGTGCAAAAAAAAATAAAAAAGTTCAATCAGTCAATTTCTCGCGGGAAAAAAAAGATTTTGCAAAGTTGGGATTGATTGAATTTTTTAGTCCCACCCAGTCTGCCGTTACCACCGCTGCCATGCCCAGCCAATGGGCCACGCCCACCCAATGGGTCACGCCCAGACAATGGGCCACACCCACCCAGCACTTGATGATGCATAAGTGGGTTTTGGGTTGCAGTTTGGTCACTCAGTCTCTTAAAGGTTCGCCATCACTGTCATATAGTATGATAGGGCTAGAACAAAACCTGAAATCTAAAGAAGTGATTTGAAGCTTTAACTTGAGATAGATAGATAGATAGATAGATAGATAGATAGATAGATAGATAGATAGATAGATAGTCTGGCTCGGGACCCATTGATCTATAGCTGTCCTTTTGGAATCTGCTATGCCATATGGTCCTCATTGCAATGGGTTGTTCATGGAAATGATGTTGTGTTATTATGCTATGTTCCAAATCATTAGAAAAACAAGCCTCTGAATCTTAAAGTAAGAATGAGTGTTTTGTGTTGCTGTCTCTCGTCTTTTCCATTGGGTTTTCCCATGACACCGCCAAGAATCATACTGAAAAAAGCAGGACCTCTGAATTTTTCCACCTCCTGCTGAAACAGGTCGTTTTTCTCTCTGGAAAAAACAAATGGATGCCAAGCAAGCACCTCCAGGGGAGACAGGAGTTGTATTAGTATAACAAAAACCACTTGATGATGTTTGCAGGCAAGCAAGACTGCTGCTGCTGCAAAAAAAAAAAAGTTGGTCACACGATCGGTCTGTTTTACAACCACATACAGTACAGGTAGTCCTCGAACGGATCACATTTCATTTAGTGGCCATTCCAAGTTAACAACGGCACTGAAAAAAGTGACTTACGGCCATTTTTCACACTCACAGACCACTGCAGTATCCTGGTGGTCACATGATCAAAATTCAGAGGCTCGGCAACTGACTCATATTTACGACGGCCGCAGGGTCCTGGGGTCAGAGGAACCCTTTTTCTCACCTTCTGAAAAAGCAAAGTCAACGGGGGAAGCCCGATTCACTTAACAACCGTTGACAGCTGCGATTCACTTAACAACTGTGGGTCGTAAAATGAGGCAAAGCTCACTTGAGGACAGAAATTGTTGGGCTCAACTGTGGTCCAAAGTCGAGGACTACCTGCATAAACCTTAATAAATAGGTTCCATTATGGCTGTAGATCGAGAATTCCCTGTACAGCAAATAAACCCCCTCCAGAGAACGCCCTTTGGAGGTGTGGACTCACCTGGGTGCAAATGCTTGGCAGAGAGAGCGCCAGCTTCACCATGTCGGGCAAAATGGACTGAAAGAGATGCTGAGCTTCTGCGTCTTCCAGCACCTGAAGTAAAAACAGGAGGAGAAAATTCTGATGTCAGGATCAGGGTGGACCAAACCAGGATCCCCGCTTTGCGTGTTTGGAACAGAACAGAGCAGAATTCTCCATTGGCCAAAGGCGACTGGACACACAAGGAGTTGGTCTCCGGTGCTGAAGCTCTCAGTGTACGTACAAGCAACCAGCGATAAGTCCACGTTCATAATCATAAAATACAATCATCGTAAACCATAAGATGCAACGCTCCGCGATAGTCGTCGGATACTAAGTAAGCAATCAACATCAATCATACTAGGATATTAAAATAAGCAGTCAATGTGAATCGTAAGGTACAGGCAACAAAGCTAAGAGTCGTTAAGAAGGATAAGGAAATAAGTCATAGGAAAGATGAGAAGGATAATAGTAACACAGCTCTGCTAGATAGTTGACAATGTTGTGGGAATTAGCTGTTTAGCAGAGTGAGAGGAAAAACTGTCCTTCTGTCTAGTTCAGTGATGGCCAACCTTTTAGAGACCGAGTGCCCAAACTGCAACCCAAAACCCACTTATGCATCGTCGGGTGCCGGGTGGGTGTGACCCATTGGATGGGAGTGACCCATTGGGTGGGCGTGGCCCATTGGGTGGGCGTGGCTACAGTGGTAACAGCAGATTGAGTGGGACTAAAAAGTTCAATCAATCAATTCCAACTTTGCGAGATCTTTTTTTCCGCGAGTTGAGTTGAAATTGATTGATTGATTGAACCTTTTTTTTATTTTGCACACAGCAGCGGAGGCCTAAAGCAAAAAGGTTTTATAAAACCCAGCTGAAGGCCTAGGACTGGGGTGATGGCACGCGTGTCCATAGGTTCGCCATCACTGGTCTAGTTGTTTTGGTGTGCAATGCTCTATAGTGGCATCCCAAGGGGAGAAGTTGAAACAGTTTATGTCCAGGGTGTGAGACTCCCTGTAGATATTTTCATTTTGTGGCTCGTGCAGTATACCGGTCCTCAGTGGAAGGCAGGCTCGTTGTGATTGTATTTCCTGCAGTCCTAATGATCCGTTGAAGTCTGTGTCTGACTTGTTTGGTTCCTGTAACAAACCAGACAGTTTAAGCTGACTTGGGAGGCGTCTTTTGAAAAATCCAAACTCTGGAGATCTGGACACACAAAACAACGTTACTGATGTTTTTAAAAGAATCCATCAATCATGCCGAAGGGATTTATTGTCCTTGGGGATGGGCTAAATTTTGAAAAGTTTCTAAAGTTGTTCATTTTTTTTTTCATTTCTCAATCAACGGTCACGTATTGCAACCATATATTTTGAAAGAGGTTTTGGGAATTGTTCTAAGGGAGGGCCATCAGGCATTGCCATCTTCACTTTTCCTCCCACACGTGCACTGCATTTCCAAACTGAGGTGCAGTACGAAATGTCAAAGGTCAAACTCGGATTTTAGGAAGTGACATCAAACCAGTGCATGTAAAATTAATTCAAAAGGCGACATTTGACCTTAAGCATCCAGGAGACTGGCAGATCTTGATCGACTTCCTAGCCTGGCTCTGCCCCCGTCGCTTCAAACTGACATGATGATGCTTTTTCTGACTGACACGCATTCCGTAGCCTTCCTCACCTGGTGACAGATTCCAGCCCTGGACTTTGTTACACCTGTCAGCTCTTCTGTCTTTTCCTGACGTGGAGAATAAATAGACCCAAAGCACCAAAGACTTGGACGGTGCTGCCTCTTCTGCCCGGTTCCTTTTCAAGCAATTCTTTTTAAAACTTGGGGTTTCGTCCATTTATTTGTGGTAAAAGAGCTGCACAAACTGGAAATAAACTCATTTTTGTTGGTAAAATCCAGAAGTGTTCAGAATAGGGGAATATCTTGTTCCCGTCCTCTTTTTCGTCTGGCCTTTCTTTCAAGCCAAAGATAACCGATGTAACATGCCTTCTTCCAATTTTTCCAGAAATTTGGATTCAGAACAGAACAGAATTACAGAGTTGGAAGGGATATTGGAGGTCTTCTAGTCCAACCTCCTGCTCAAGCAGGAGATTCTATGCCGGGGGTAGGCCACCTTGGCTCTTTTATGACTCGTGGACTTCAACTCCCAGAATTCCTGAGCCAGCCACGCTGAGGGGAAAGGGAGAGGTTTCCAAGCTGACCTACCATGATGTTTTGTTTTTTTTAAGAATCCAAAATACTTTCTAACACTTTACAATGACCTTGAACCATTTTTAAGGAAATTGTGTCAACTGTTGTGGATCTCTAATTTTTTTTTTGAAGAATGAACAGATCTTACCAGGTTGGTAGGCCTATCGAAGAGCCATTCTGAAGATTAACTACTAACATAATGAGCCCCCAGCTCACCTCTCCCTGGTAATCTTATCAATGGGAATCAGGTAGCACACACATTTAATAAAAGAAACAAATAAGTAGTTATCTAGAGCCCAATTCTTTCGGTAAATTTGTTTCTTGATATTTTTTATGCCATCGTTCCTTCAACCGCTCTGAAGGCTGAGAGCACATCATTAAAGCAGCAAAAAAATATAACGTTGACAATGGGTGTGTAGAAAATACAGCAAATAAAACAGGCTTGTTATTATTTCTTGTGATCTATACAAGTTGCTTGGCAATAAAAAAGGTTAGGGAGCGCCGTTGTCCACACAAAAACCTCACCGTGTTATAATGCAACTTTTGAGAAACTAACTTGACGCAAAGGGGAAAAAATGCAGACTTGCATCTATCTCCTTTCTTAAAAGAGGACAGAAAACTGACAAGCCCATTTTTTTAAAAAAAAACTCTTCATTTTTAAAATAAATCTTATGTCTAGGGAAAGGTACTTTGTTTACGCGATGTTGTTTGCCACTCACAATTTGGGTGAATTTTATCGAGGTTGACTCAACACAATAGTTCCTGGGAGTTTAGCCCAGTTGGCACCCTTAAATTACTCGTGAGGCTAAAGCCATAATCGCTTCATGGTATTACATATTTATCGAAAACACCAAGAGCAAGTGGAAGGTAAGGTAAAACCAGCCAATGGCAAAGTGATGCTGGACAGTCTGTAAATCTAATCCTGAAAAGATCTGAAACCCACTCTTTTTAGTAAAGTGCGGGTCAACCTCACTTAACGACAGCAAATGGGACCGAAAAATCTGTGGCTAAGCAACCTGGTCGTAAAGCAGTGGTTCTCAACCTGTGGGTCGGGACCCCATTTGGGGTCGAACGACCATTTCACGGGGGTCGCCAAACAACGCAGTCTGCCATTTTCCCCCCCTTTTCCTTAGCTGTGCTACTCCCTTTTATTCTATTGGCTTTTGAAAGCCAATAGAATAGACTCTCTTGAATAGAGTCTAATTCTATTGGCTTTCAAAAGCCAATAGGAATTGTCCAGGCTGTCTCTGCCCTGCTGAGCCCGCCAAAAGTCCCATTCTGCAAACGGTGCTGCACCAGTCGAGTAGTCCTCGACTTACGACCGGTTGAGTAGTCCTCGACTTACAACCGGTTGGGGGGTCGCGGCATTAAAAAGGTTGAGAACCACTGTCGTAAAGCGTGATGCCTGGGTCACTTTAGCAACAGCAGTCTTGTTTGCCCCCGATGGAGAAAATCACCATGGTTTATTAAGCGAGCATTTCCTTTGATGATGACGCTCGGCTTTCCCACTGACGTTGCTTGTCAGAAGCTGGCTGGGAAGACTGCAAATCACAATCTGAGTGTGGGACGCTGTGATATTGTAATTTTGCCCTGATTCCCCACGGGCTCCAATCAGGATCGCGTTGGTTTGCCGAGGATGTTGCAATGGCTGCAACTACAAGGGCCGAGTTGTAAGTAACCCTTGTCCACTAAGGTGTAACTTTGAATGATCGCCGGAGAAGTGTTTGTTAAGCGAGGACTAGCTATAAACGCTTTCTGCTCTCTTTTTGGGGGGGGAGGGTTATGACATAAAATAAACCCGCCTTGAGAAAATATATATCAAATATTCCTACATTTTGATTAGAAAAACACAAACGCAGAGTGAAGGAAGTCCTCTTTGAGTGAAGCACGGAAAGAATTCTATCGGAATCTGCGGAGAAGAGCCTCATTAGAAGACAGCGAGATGGAACGTCTGACATTTATCAGACTCATAAACTGACACTTGGAAAGGAAAGACGACGACAGGCCTAGATGTGAGCAGTTAATTTGGCGCCCTCTAATTTTTCTTTCCGGAAGGTAAAATATTTTCTCCTGCCAATCCGGGATGACAACGATCTCTCAGGTGTATCGTACTTGACAGGTGAGGCTTCCTTTTAATGACTTCCCTAATTTGAAATAAACTTCAACTGTTTAAGAGACCGAGTAATACCGCGTTATTCTCTTTATTAAACGACATGGGGGAAAATGTAGGTTTCGCTATTTTCCAATGAGCATTGAGGAACTCTTTCCTTCTTTAATTTCCATCTTTCCCCACGTTCGGCAATGTTTAAAAACTGTGCATCAAAACGCCTGTCACTCCAATTCATCACAGACCTTTCTGAAATGCAAGCCCAGCAGTCAGCAACAGTGAAGTTTCTGCCTCTACGTTTCCTGAAATTAACCGTTTAGGAAACGTAAAAAGAGATTCCACAAGAGGGTTAAAATATTAAGACTGTGTTTTTAAATACAGGTTAGTCTTTGATTTACAAGCACAGTTGAGCCAAAATTTCTGTTGCTAAGCGAGGCAGGGGCTGAGGGAGTTTTACCCCATTTTATGACCTTTCTTGCCACGGCTGATAAGTGAATCGCTGCAGTAGTCAAGTTAGTCACACAGTGGTTAAGCGAATCTGGCTTCCCCCACTGACTTTGCTGGTCAGAAGGTTGCCAAAAGCGGATCACGTGACCTTGGGACACAGCAACGGTCGCCAAGCATCCGAATTTTGATCACGTGACCACAGGGATGCTGCAACGGTGGCAAGTGTGAAAAACAGTCCTTGTTGTTTCAGTGTTGTCGTAATGGATGACCCTGGGCACAGCACAGAGGCAATGCAGTCAGCTGGCGATTCAAACTGCCCTTTAGTGGCT